CAGATACTTTATTCTCTTTAACACAAGGTCGCAACAACTTCTCACACAGTTCTTTCCCACTTGCCTCACCCATTCCTCGCTTCTACAAATCTCGCGTTATATCCGAAGAAGTGGGCTGTAGTCCACGAAAGCTTATGCTCTAATAAATTTGTTAGTCTCTAAGGTGCCACAAGTACTCCTGATCTTCTTTTTGCGGATACAGACTAACACGGCTGCTACTCTGAAACCTGATATTATTGGGACCATCCTGATGTTAGGGGCTTTCTTATATAAGCAACTGTCGGAGAATAACAGTGTTCTCGCTTTTTGTTTGGGTAGAGCAAAGTCAGATACTTTATTCTCTTTAACACAAGGTCGCAACAACTTCTCACACAGTTCTTTCCCACTTGCCTCACCCATTCCTCGCTTCTACAAATCTCGCGTTATATCCGAAGAAGTGGGCTGTAGTCCACGAAAGCTTATGCTCTAATAAATTTGTTAGTCTCTAAGGTGCCACAAGTACTCCTGATCTTTTTATTAGGATTACAGTTAGCCTGACTCTTGCTAACAAACTGTCATGCATTGCAATCCCCTTCCTGTCCATTCTTTCTCTGCTTCTACACAACTATACACTCCCAATCCCCAATTTTTCACACTTGCCATCTGGTCACCCTGCTGGAAGGGGAGGTGTCAGTGTGTCCCGCATGGGACCCCGGCTGGGGAAGAATCTGGAGCGGGTGGGATGGGGTTACGGGGCATGGGGTTGCTCAGGACAAGGGGAGTCACCTACCCAGAAGCAGGAGGAGAGCTGGTGCCATGCTGAGCTGGTCCCGCTGGGGCAAGGAGCTGGATTCTTGGCTCAGCCCTTGGCCCCATCCTCTGCCAACGCCACCGAAGAGAGGCAGGCAGGGAACAGTGGCCTGAGCCCGTATCACCTCAGCCCCCCCAGTGTGGCAGGAAATGGTGCAGGACACCAACCACATCCGAGCATCTCTGCCATCCCCCGTGAGTCTGTGCGGGGCAGGGCCCCTTCTGCAAAGGCTTGTGGAAATAATCCCCAGTGGTGAGGGGAAACCCGCAGGTCTGTCACTGAATGACCAGAACTAAAACCTCTCCAGCGCATCATCAGAGATCTACAACCTATCCTGAAAGATGATCCTTTACTCTCACAGATCCTGGGAGACAGACCTGTCCTCGCTTACAGACAACCCCCCAACCTAAAGCAAATACTCACCAGCAACTACACACCACTGAACAAAACCACTAACCCAGGAACCTATCCTTGTAACAAACCCCGATGCCAACTCTGTCCACGTATCTATTCAAGTGACATCATCATAGGAACTAATCACAACAGCCATACCATCAGGGGCTCGTTCACCTGCACATCTACCAATGTGATATATGCCATCATGTGCCAGCAATGCCCCTCTGCCATGTACATTGGCCAAACCGGACAGTCTCTGCGCAAAAGAATTAATGGACACAAATCAGACATCAGGAATCATAATACTCAAAAACCAGTGGGAGAACACTTTAACCTGTCTGGTCATTCAATGACGCACCTGCGGCTGGCCAGAAAACTACAGTAAACCTCTAAAAACGTGTCCCAAGTGGACACCAAAG